CTCCTTTTCCTCTTCTTCCTTTAAAAAAAAAAAAAGGAAACAACAACAACAAAACGGGGTCTCACTGTGTAGCCTGGCTGACCTGAAATTAACTGTGTAGACCAGGCTGACCTTAAACTCACAGAGATCTCATCTCTGCTGTGATCAAACGTATGTGCCATCAAATTTGGCCTTATCTTTGATTCATTCTAGTTGGATTTGTGTACTTTTCATTAGCTAAAACCTTTTAAGATTTCATTCAAGGTCTTACTTTGCCAAACTCAGTGCTTATTAGATCTGTTGATAATTTTATTTTGAAAACTTTATTTTGAAATACTATTTTCAAACAAGAGTTAATTATGTGTTTTTGTTTGGGTAAGTGCATGTGAGTATAAGGCCTATGGAAGCCAGAAGAGGCTGCTGATCTGGAACTGGAGTGGCAGGTGGTTGTGGGCTTCTTGAGGTGGAGCAGAGGACCTGAATTTTGTCCCCAGCACCTCTTTCCAGCAGCTCACAACCCTCTATAAATCTGGCTCCAGAGGATCTGAAGCCTTTGGCCTCATCAGACACCTGCAAGTTTGAACCACACACATATAATTAAAAATAGTAAGTCTTTTTTTTTTTTTTTTTTTTTTTTTTTTAAATTAAAGGCTTACTATAGTCCACAAGCCATTTCATGATCTTATATCTCCTCCTACACTGCTTCCTCTCCTCTCTTTTGGTCATTCAGCCCCAGAATCTTGGGCCTCCTTGCTGTTTTTTTGTTTGATTTTTTTTTTTTTTTTTAAAGATGGTGTCACTATGAAGCCTGGAACTTTATTTGTATTTTTGCTTTTTAAAATTTCTTTGTGTGTGTGTGTGTGTGTGTGTGTGTGTGTGTGTGTGTGTGTGTCTGTCTGTCTGTCTGTCTGCCTGCATGTGTGCCATAGTGTACTTAACGGAGATCAGAGGGCAATTTATGGGTGCTGGTTTTTTCCTTCTACTGAGTAGGTTCTGTGGATTGAGCTGAAGTTGTCAGGATTGATGCCAAGGTTCATACCTGATGAGCTGTCTCTGTAACTCTTCTTTAATTTTCTATTTTTAGCCTGAGGGAAGAGGATTGCCACAAATTTGAGGCCAGCATTATCTACACAGCGAATTTCAGGCCAACCTGGGTGACAGTATAAAACCCTGTCTCAAAAAGCCAAAACCCAAACAACGCAAAGCCCCACAACCCAAAAGTCAAGATGCAACCCTCTCCTCCTCAAACCCCAGACCTGTAAAATACACACATGGGCTTTTAAGTTCTGTGAGAGTATGGACTGTACATGGCATGTTTGTCCTCGTGTCCCTAGCAGTTCATGTAGTTAACTGGTACAGAGTAGATGTTTGTGGGGTCTGTAAACAACGGGGCGGGCAGAGTAACCATTTGAGTGAGGCAGAAAGGAAATCTAAGTTCAACATGACTTAGTTAGCCCGTGTTGGTTCAAACTTTAGAATCTGACCCTGAGCAGTTTATTTTAGACAGCATAGCACAATTTTGGAAAAAAGTTTCTTGATGATAATTAACTCAACTCTGTGTATACAACAGACATGTTGACATGAAAACTCTTTACAAAGTCCATATGGCCTCTTCCAAATGATGAGGTCCATTGACTCAGAAACAAAGCTCAAGATAAGGGTCCAGGGAGAATGACTGAAGTAAACACAATAGCCTGTGGGAGTCAGGAGTGGCCTGGTCCTAAGATAGCACAGAAGTTACCGAGGCTGTTGTCAAGTACAGGTGCCATCTCCTGTTAGGAAGGGTTTTATTGACTGAGAAGCAATGCTTCCTCTAGGGAGGAAGAGTCTGGGATAAACAAACATAATAGTCTGGGGGATTCAGGTTAAGACTGGCTCTACAAGGGGGCTGGAGAGATGGCTCAGCAGTTAAGAACACTGGCTGCTCTTCCATGGGTCCTGGGTTTAATTTCCAGCAACCACACTGTGGCTCACAACCATCTGTAATGGAATCTTATTCCCTGTTCTGGTGTGCAGACAAACATTCAGACAGAGCACTCATATATATAAATAAATCTTTTTTTTTAAAGACTGGCCCTACAGATAGCAAAGATCACCAAGTGTCTCAGTCAGTGTTCTATTGCTATGAAGTTGCCACGATCACAGCAACTCTTAAAAAAAAAGCATGTAATTGAGGCTTGTTTACAGTGTCAGAGGTTTAGTCTATTATTATGGTGGGGAGGATGGCAGCATGCACACAGAGATGGTGTTGGAGGAATTGAGAGTTCTACATCTGCATCTGCAGGCAGCAGGAAAAGAGAGACCTTAGGCTTGCAGAGGCTTCTGAAACCTAAAAGCTCACCCCCAGTGGCAGCTTGTTAGGCCATACCTCTGAATCCTTTCAAATATTGCCACTCCCAGGTGACCAAGCATTCAAATCTGTGAGCCTATGGGGGCCATTCTTATTCACACCACCACACCAGGTTATTAACTACACCAATAATATCATTCCCAGCCTTCTGAGTGGAAAACAGGTTATACATACCCCCCAACTCCCCCTCTGAGGGAGGAGACAACCCTGTGTGTTTAATATTCCTGGTTTCCCTAGTACATATCTGTGAGAAGTGAGCAAAGGGACCCCATGCCCTCTGCAGAGGTTCAGCATGTTAATTTGAATGAATTTCTTTTTCTTTCTTTTCTTTCTTTCTTTCTTCCTTCCTTTCTCCTTCCTTCCTTCCTTCCTTCCTTCCTTCCTTCCTTCCTTCCTTCCTTCCTTCCTTCCTT